TGTTTTGTTTTTTAATTATATGTCAGCATTGTGCTGCATTAAACACGTTATTTTACAAAAAGGAGACAAAACAGAGGAAAAAAATGAAAACATAATACGCTGGTAAATCAGTGACAAACATTCCTAAGCTACACTATTCAGTTAACCTGTTAACTTGGAGTTAACCTGGAACAAGGGGCCTCAACACCATTTTTCCCGGCCCCCCTCCCAGAGTTTGATTACAAAACTTTGAAGACCAGAAATTTTTTAAAATGAGAGAAAGATGCAAAACACTTGAAAAATAAACCACCATTTTTCCTAAAGAATATTCAGCAGAAATATAATTACTGACATGGTTCCCATACCTGTTTATTCGGAAATGCTCTGATACAGCGGGTCTGGTATTTCAGACTTGATTCTCTTCGCTGCTGAACATAACCCATGTTCCGCAAATCCCACACCAGCACTCTCCGACCTGCCGTCCCCACAATCAGTCTATCTCCAGACACAGAAAGCGTGTAGACCTTTAAAAATAAAAACATTACAATATTTAACGCTTATCAGCCGGGATATCCATTGTTCTTTGTACGAAATAAAATATCAGCAATATGCAATAACAAAACAGGTAACATTACAATAAAGATAATAGCTATAGATTTCCCCTTTGCTTCAATTTATAACTCAAATTTGGGATAAACAGCAGTAGTGTGCAGCTGGTTAGCGATAAGACACTGATGTAGCATTTCAAAAGCTCACCCTTAATTCTGTACCCTAGCACATAGCTGAAAAATCAAGCCCAACGCAGTCCCATACTACATATAACAAATTTAGGAAAAAAAAAATTAATATGCATTTGCACTTGTGCAAATTCTAAGTTTCAAGCACGTTTGTTCAATTACCAGTCTCTAGATCTCAGTGATATCTAAATAATCTTCCACACATGAGATTTCTTCCTTTTGCTGGTATTACCCATTTTAAATGCTACATGTGTACAGAAGTATTTACGTATAATTCAAAAGGGAAATCAGTATTATTCAAGTTTTCCTCAAAAATTATTTCAAGCATTAAGTTTATTGGATATTTCAAGGCAAGAGGAAAATAGATACACAGTAACTGAGGGGGGAAGGGCATGGATATTGGAATTCATCTGCACAGCTTGCATTCCCCACTACCAATTCATGATCCTGCAGTTTAGTCCTACAGTACCACGTCACACATTTTCTTCTCAGTTTTCCTCCATCTGGTAATCACATGTTTTTCTTTTTAAACAGAATACTTCAAGTTGAGCTTCATGTTAATAAAGGAAAATAAATTGCCAAGAAAACACTAAAAAACCAGTACTTTGTATACTTTAATAAAACTAAGTGAAATTGAGGGAAGCAATATGCTTGACATCATTAAAAAAGACTATGGCTTGGAATTTCAACTCTACTCCAAAGATTGGCTCAGAGATTCAATTTTTGCTTATCAAATTTCTCATTAAATTGCTCTGTTTCCAAATATTACTTGGGATGCAGTTAATCTGGAAATATGCTTAAAAAAGAAAAAAGGTTCAGTCAAGAACTCTGCGCTATCAAATGAATTACAAATTATTGATACACAGCAAGATGGAATCCAGCTACCTATAGCTGTCAGGTCACTGAGCTGCTAACAGGAGCAAACTATAAGAATGAGCTTTTTCAAAAGTGATCTAATGCAGCTAAAAACATAAGAAACAGATATTGTATATACCTCAGATCAAGAATCAAAAGTGTAAGAAATCTGGTACCCTGCCAGAAGGATTCAATTTCTTTTGGCATGTGCTTGTACAATTTCACTCAAGCACCTAGTTTCACTTTCTGGTTCTCTGATAAAGCCCAGTAAAGATACTTGGTTCTGGTAAGACTGCACTGAAATATCAGACAAAACAACTTTTCATTTGCTATAAACATTTCTGGAGAAATTGTGTTTTCAAAAAGTTAATTTTTAATCAAAAAAACTAAGCCAACAGGTGTGTATATGTATATGAAGCTTCCTTTAACCAATCCACATTCATTCAGCATGCTTTCCTGTGATTATTGAACTTCTCTCTTAAGAGTGAGGTCTTAAGATGGGAAATGTCTTAAATGCTCACATAGGAGTTGCCTAAAATTTCCGATCATCCCAATTGCCAAATACCACTTACGTACAAGAAGGGAAAGAAAGCTTTGAGCCAACAGTAAGTTACACACTTTAACAAGACAGGTTTTCAAATCTGCCTTCGTTATTGATGTAAAAATTGATCAAAAAATATTAATAAACATTATATAAAAAACGTTCGTATACATGTATGGAAACAAAGGCATAAAAAACATTAAATATCTTAAATCTTCTTTACAAACTGATGTCACACCTGTATAGTAAGTATTCTTTCTACACCACACAATCATAAATCAACTGAAATCACTGTCATGCAGTTGAGTAGGTGTACACATTTATCAAAGGCAGTATTAAAAAAATGACATAATGAACCTTGCTGAACCAATAAGCAGCTTGATTCACTGTGGCTGTCCATTATATGATATTCTGTCAGCAATTTATCACAGCTCTTTACATGCTACACACAACTATAAATCAAAACTAGAAATAATGCAATTACTTTATTCTGAACAAAGGTCTTGCCAGAAGTAGATTCAGCTATGTTGTAACAAAAGTAATAGCTATTTAGATGCAATAGGGAACGTAATGATGGCTCATAATTATGACTTGACAATACGATGTGACAGAGCTAAATGCAATTTAAAAAAGGTATAGGCAAAAAAAAATATTCATATGTAAAATTATCCATCAATCCAGCCTGTGTTTAGGAGTCTATGAAAAAAAACAGAAATTACTGTTCTGTAATTCTATACTACTTACAATGGTGTCACTGAAAAAGATTAACACACCATATAACCATTAGAAAAAGCTTAAGACATTACATTTTACCTTATTTCTCTTGGTCTCTCATTAGCACAGACGATTTAGTATTAGGAGAATGTCTGAATTTACTAGGCATTAGTACAACGACAAGTAAATTACAATACAAGCAATTCTGTTCAACCTTTTAATACAAGTGAAAAAAACAAAATATTATTTCAGGCAATATAATTGGCATATTATACCTCTATGCACATTTCAAAACAATCAGACCTTATGACTGCCAGGATCTGATATACCTAAAAGTCTTAACGTTTAAGGAAATCGATAGTGCATATTACAATTAAGCCGAGGATTATTAATGATTACATCAATTTCACACGCTGTTTTTGTTACGTTTTCCTTCCTCAAGTTTGTTTTAAATTAAAAGAATTTGGTCCATCAGGAGTGCTAAGAATTAAGTCGTGCTCTCCTACTGATGAAAGCTCAAATTCCTACCCTAAAATCGCAATATATTCTGCATATAAATGTTTTAAAATGCAACATTTTCACCGTTTAAAAACCATTAAACACAACTTTTCAAATTCAATTCAGTTTAAGACAGTGTCCTGTATGGTGATGTTTAACCAGTCGCTGGATGTATTATTTAACATATCACCTGGAGTACCGCACCCAGTACATACCTTTTCAGGCTGAGAGAAGGTTCCTGCATTACAAGGAGTTCTGGGATCCCACAGCTTAACTGTTTGATCCCAGCTTCCAGTCACCATGACATTTACTTCTGGGCAATACTCAACACACCTGATAGGAGCATCATGAGCACCAACAAGGTTTTCTGTGAGAAAATACAATTTATTGTAACTTTATTGGCTCTAGAAACAGTCAGAACGTGTTGAAAAAAGAATAAAAAAAGGACACACTACTGCAGTACGAACACACTATTTTCTGACATTCCCACGGGTGTATTGATATGCTAGGAGTCCCTTTACGGATAGATCAGTCTTCGAAGCATAGCTTTTGCAAAGATCAGATATGCTAAATTTAAACTTATGTCTCCTGAGATTATGAAAGGAAGTTAAGAATTTTAGGCAGCCACAGAGAAGATCTTCAGCCAAGAAGAGAGATCTTCACAGGTATAAAGAAATGTTCAGTATCAAATGGTATCACCGCATGTGACGCAGACACAATACAGAAAGCGACTTAAGCTTGTATATATTAACGTTATGACAAAAGAAAGAAAAGGAATTAATATTACATATTAATGAAAATATAACTTAAATATAAACACTTCTAGAAAGTCATCTGTAACAGAATTATTTGACCTTTTTCAAAACATTACTGCACACACAAGTTTGTCGAGCCCTGGCTATTGGCTGGTTCTGGTGACCACATTTGTCTCAGGCTGAGATTCACTTTTCTCTTTAAAACACACACAAACAAGTTAGACAAACTAGCTCCGTATTTTGCACCAATGAGGCACTGGAACAGTGTAACTTTCAAGCAATGTTTTGTTAGAAAAAAATGTAGTATAAGGCCATGATGTTTGACAAAGCAAAAGCTTTATATACATTCTGCCATACACGTGAAAGATCAGTCTAAATACGTCTAAACCACAAACCTTTGGAAAATCACTTGCTCAGTTTTAGTTCAGCTTAGCTAATTCCCCCTAACTGAGACACAGTAGCCTATGGCAGAGGAAGATTATCATCAGAAATCCAATTCAAGGTGTCCTACAAGGATCTACCAAACTTTCTGGCGAACTTCCATGCTTTTAGGTAGCACTTATTAGGGCCACTAGTTATTCTGCTAGATAAAGGCACATATGATGTTAACCTTAAATCAACAGTGTGACAAGTATATAGCTACTTCCTTTCCTTCCATTTTCACCTTAAAATAAGTAAAGAAATACACACGTAAAATACATCAATGAATATTCATCACAGGAAAAGTTTAAGCAGCAGTTTAAGCTGCTCAGTTTGGCAGCAACAGATTCAACCCTTCTATTAAAGGTGTTATAGCACAATCTTCAGTTACACCGTAAGGAATACTGCCTTGTTCTGTGTCTCGGTGATGAGAAAGGGCTGCACAGCAAAGGAGACTGCTGGGCACTAACACTGACAACTTAAATCAATAGAGGTTTATAATCAACATCTAAACAGCTACTACTTAAATATCCCCCATCTAAAAAACTTGAAACATATTCTGTTCATGTAAGTATATAAATCTGAAGCTTAGGCCAGCTGTTGAGACCACTTACAGAATTCAACCTGCTTACCTTGGTCCGTGTTTAGATCGTGCATTTTCAGCTGCTGATCTAATCCTCCACTCCAGGCATGGGTAGGATCCTATAAAACAAAAAATTTCACCTTATGACATGTGTTAAGTTTCCCTGGCTGCTATACATTTAATCTCTTAGGCTTATAACACAGGACTTGCTTTCAAGAGCTTTGGGAAGATGGGAATTAAGACACAAGGGTTAAGATCCGTCCCAGATCTAAACAGGCGGATGACAGCAGCTTTGCAAAATGCTTAAGTAAAGCACTTTGAGCTATACAATTTTTTTTTTTAAATTAGAAGTAAAACTAAAAAGAAAGAAAAGCAGTTAGAGGCTATATCAAATCATTTCTATTTCTGTAACAGCAAAACACATAATGCTTATTTTTAAATGACCGCCAACCTAAGCCAGTTCCACCTAATTGAAGCGTAACCCTTCTAAAACTAATTTGGAAACTAGAAACCATTTGAAAACCTGCATGTTGATCCACAGTACGGTATTAGCTATGTGACAAAGTGTTCAGTGAAAAAAGCACAAGCAGAATTAAAAATTTAAACTGATCCTTAAAACATTCAGTAACACATCGAGATCAAGTCACTGGAGGACATGCCAGAATACAACACAAAAAAAGAAGATGCTAATTGAAACCCTCTATTTAAAAAAAAAGGCAAAACAAAAGTGGCACTAATAAACTTAAACCACTCATATTTCAAAACCAGTGCATTAAAAATACAGAAATCAAGTCTCTGGTAAATGGCTCACTTAGAACAAGTGTTTCCAAAACAACCCAGTATGAGGAGGTTAAAAAAAATAATTGGCTATGGGCATTTATTGTGAATAACAATTTCTGGCTATATACTACCAGTACAACTCTTTGTAAGAAACACGCACACAATTTACTATACTATTGCAGAAACAGCACAAACCAGCTCAAATTACTTTTGCCTAGCACTTATGCCAGAAGTAAATTACTTGTGTGCCTGCACCCTTCACAGGAAACACCTATATTTAAGACTAGAACAACATTCATTGAAAGAAAAATAATTGGCAGAATTAAGCTATTTTTTTTAAACCTAGAATTCAGGTAGGATTTCACTACCCCTTTAATTTCAGGGACTAACAATTTCTCATGTACCTTGGGCACTATATGTCTATAAAACAATAATTTTAAAAAAGCCACCTCACACACTTACATAAAAAGCACAGTCAAGGACAGCTCCTGAATGTTGATATTTGAGTCTCATGGTGTTGGCAGGAACATCATAGAGCCGGACAGTTGTGTCCCAGGATGAAACAAGCAGAAACTGAGATGTATTTGGACTAAACTTTACTGATGAAATACCATCATCTGGAGTTTGATTTAGTTTGAATTCGTTTGATCCCGTCATCTAAAGAAAAGACAATAACGCACAGATACAATTTTAGTAATAACAAGACCATAAGCCTAGCAAGGTAGTTAGCTAACTGATCCATCTTTAAAGGTAACTTAAAGCAGATCTGAAAAGTTTGCTAGCTTTTACACAGAAGTTCAGAACACCCAGATTTCTGACAAACTCTCTAAAATTCAAGATGCTAATCCCTGTCCAAAACCTCAATAAATTCCTCCCCCTACAGAGAGCTTTTAATTTTAAATATCAAATATAACATGGAACAGTAAAAAGAGTTTATTTTTATTATTATCTATAAGTTTAGATACTGTTACTTACAAATGTATTTCCCCCCCATGCTACTGTGTATGTGGCTGTATTTTTAAAAGTAAATATTTATAAGTTACCGTGAGCATCAAGAAGTTACTTTTTTTTACTTTTTTTAAAAAATACATACAGGCAGAAAGGAATCTGATTTGAAAACTCCAACAAAAAGTGTTGATTTGTTCCTGATTTGGTATGACTGTCATATACTTCCAAGAATTACATTTGGATAATCTTTTAAATAGTTTTGGGCTCTCTGCAACTTTCCAATCCTTAGGCTTCCATAAGTGCTATAAAATATTTCCAATGAAACAGATTTAAGATTTTTTTTTTTTCCTCTTAGAGTCTACAGAAGGTCAGATAAGAAAGGAAAGTTATGCTTTGTGGGGTACTGAAATGTAGAGCAAACATGTAAATGTGATGTGACTGGAAAAAAAAAATCAACAATTCAATGACAGAACAATGACTCTGAAGGTAACTGCGGCACTCACTTCATATATAGTTACTTGTATATACAAAAATTCAAAGGAGAGCAGAGGCTATGAACAGCAAATTTCAGCTGGAAAGACAGCACAGACCTTACAAACGCTCTGAAAGAAGAAACTGTTCATTGTATGTACACCAACAAAACCACCAAACCTGTTTTTAAGGCTTCAGAAAGACTTAACAGCACATTTCCCTTGTGCTAAAAGGCCACAGAAGTAAATTAACTCACATTTTCTATAACACTGTCATTCCTGAATTTGTATGTGCAACTGTAGAGGTTAAGATTAGACCTCTGAGAATAAATCAAGAGAGAATGAGCAGATGAACTAGGACAAGGTTCAAATTTAGTGCACAACTATTCTAGTTCAGCGCTTGTCAGTAACTGAACAATCATCAAGTTGTATGCTAATGTAAGCACTACGCATTCTTACACCGGAAAAATTTAAGTGGAAGCTTTCATAGGTGTTCTGCAAGACATCCTTCAAAAAAAAAAAAACCCACTATGTAAACATAAAATGCTCTTTCTGCTATTTAAACATGGTGATAAAAAAAACCTTTAAGAATAGGAAATAAAAACTTCTTTCTTAACTCCTTTTTTCAGCTCTGCTTTGGGAATACTTGGGCAAAAAGACAGATATTTGCCACACATTTCTATATGAATACTATAGAGAATTCAGCAGCACCGCCATCACACTTTAAACAGTAAAATGTACCTCAGTGAGTATTTCAGATGGATGTACTAGGACACAAAATCTAAAGGAATTCAGAACAACTACGAGAATTAGACTGAACGTGCTAATTGCCTTGTCTGCTCATGGCAGAAAGCTCAAACAACAAACACGAGGATTTGAGGCGCCTGGTACAACGGTTACTAACCAGCCCAAAAGCAATCAACAAGCAGCACTCCAGGAAGCAAAGCTGCTTACATCAGAAACCTGGAAGGATTTCCCGAAGGCATTTTTAATCCACAAAAAAAATATAAAATACCAGAATTTAAATATATCCTGTTTTACATGTTCCAAAAAAAAAAAAAAAAATCACACAACGAGCTCTGCACACTTTCACAAATGCAACTGCTTCACAACCGGGACTGCCAAACAACAGTAACTGTCACACCCACCTCAAACAACAAAGTCCTGGTAAAATTTTCAAGTACCACAAGAGATAACTCATAAAGAGGACGTTATAGGGAAAATGCATCCTGCAACTGCGATGCTGACTTAACTACAGGGTGCACCTTTGCAATTCCATCATTCCCGAAAGCTTTTTTTTACTGAACAGGTAAGAAACCAGCGCTTTTATAGCTCCTCTTAACATAGCACGCTCTATCATTTAGCTAGCCGGTAAGCGTTTCTCGAACACAGCAGGCCGCTTGGTTGAAAGCGTTAGGACGACCAGTCTGAACTTTCACTAAGAAGACATTAAAAGTACCGTTTTCATATTGCACGAGTTCCTCTCCCTGCTCCACGCAACGCCAAGGAAAAGCTTTCTTCCTGCCGCAGCAGCGGATTACGGAAGCACTGAGGCGCCAGAGGCACGGTCGCTCCCGCAGTCCGGTCCCGGAGAGAAGCACGTCAGGATGCGGAAGATGCTGCCGGCTGCGGCGGGAAGGGAAGAGAGTGAGAGAAGGGCCGTTCCTCTCCCTGCTCCACGCAACGCCAAGGAAAAGCTTTCTTCCTGCCGCAGCAGCGGATTACGGAAGCACTGAGGCGCCAGAGGCACGGTCGCTCCCGCAGTCCGGTCCCGGAGAGAAGCACGTCAGGATGCGGAAGATGCTGCCGGCTGCGGCGGGAAGGGAAGAGAGTGAGAGAAGGGCCCTAGAACGGAGGGAGGGCCGAG